ACAGTCAAAACCCGGGTAGGTGAAGGTTAGCGAGGAACAGTCCCAGCCATAAATAGCTGCGACCGCCTTGGTTCTGGGTCGACCATTTTAACACGAGGTTTTGATTGTCACTCTCCTGGCTTTGCTCGAAATGCGACGCCAGGCCTGGCGCGCGAGACGCGCGAAGCTCCGCGGGAAGTCGCGCGGGAAGCTCCCCGCGAACGCGAAGCAGCTCGGGAGCCCGCGAAAGAGGCGTGAGCCGATGATGTCAAATCCCCACGTAGATGATGTCCACCAAGTCCCCAACTGAAATTCTCACCCAAAAGACGGATGGTGATTTGGTGTGCCATGGTAAATTGGCCAGTTGTGTGAATGTTCTTTTGTTGCTTTTTGCATTCTTGTTTTCCGATGTCGAGCATTGGACAGGTTGGACTGGCCCCTAACAAAGGACATAATATGTGACCGTGCCGCGTAGGTCAACATGGTTTTCATTTTCTCCAGACATCTCTCAGCTATTTTTCAGCATTGGACACCGCGCAGCTACTGCAGGAACAATTTTGTTTTGTTGCGGATTGGCCCAGATTCAGACGCCATCCCAAAAGCAACTTTGCCAACAGGTTTCGGAAGTAGAGCTCACGCCATTTCAGAGCTTAGGACAGGATGACACCTTGTAAATATTGGCGGGGGGGTTCGGGCAAATTACCTGAACTAAGCGGATTTCGTCCATTTGCAGTTTCCGGCGTACTTTTGTTGCTGCAGGGTGCTGTGTTGCTCTTCGAGTTTGACGGCGACTGCTTTGAGGGCGACCGCGTCATCAACATCCGGGCGGGTTGGGGTCGAACGCTATCATCGAAGTTTCTCCTTGCCAATCCGCACGCTTCGCAGACAGCCGTGGGTTGACTCGTGAGGCTGGAGTGCCCATGGAACACTTGAAGCCTTTGTCCTCTCAACGTGCCTCAAACCAAATCACAGCCGGAAACACATGGCCCACTTCATTTTGGGTGCTGGGTTTGGACGAATGGGCGCAGGACCGGCCGTACAACTTTAACCAGCCGCTCGGAGGGGCCTGGGCGACCCAGCGCGGGTGCACGTGTTCTGGTGGGAAACTGTCTCGGGGTCACTTTTGAACGGGTACTGGTTGGGACAGAGCAGGGGCCCCTTTGTCCAAGGGTCTCACGAGGCACCACAAGACGGAAAAGCGGAAGCTCGTTGCCAAACTGCCCAGGCGATCAGCATTGCCTTCACGGCGAGATGGGATGCCTTTGCGTTCAGGATGACACGTTGGGCTTTCGCAGGTGCCCGTACAAAATCCCGCCAGGGCACGGTTTCAAGTCGGGGTTGCCGCATCTTTGATGTTAATCCTCGATTTGTGGTACCTCTGCACCGGCATGAGGCGAAGTCTTGTCAAAAGCTTAAGTTTTTGTGCGAATGGGGCGCCTGTGAAAGCAGAGACCCAAGCCGGGGGCTTGGGCAAGTGGAGGAGCAAAATCGTGGACTTTGGGGATGGCCCGAATGCACCGCCCCCAGGGGGAGGGAGGGAGGGGGGGAGGGAGGGAGTGGGAGTGACGCTTGAGTGCCTGAGATTCCGGGGAGGAATTTCATTTGAAGCGAACATATCCAATCAAAGAAAAAGGTTCCCATTTGAAAGAGCGTCACTCAGTGCGGGGGCCATTGAATCTAGAGCAGTCAAGTTTTGGATAAATGGCAGCTTTGCCACCAACTCCAAACTCCCCAAGCAGCGATAGTGCCCCTGCAGACTGTGCCAGCGCCAAACATGGAGTCAGAGACTCTTGCCTGGTTTTGACAAATGCATACCTAGTCCAGGCTTCTGACTTTGGACGCTTGAGCTTGTCAGGCGGACAACATCGTGATCGGCAACCTAGAGAATGGCAGGCTGAGTCCCGGAAGTAGATAAAGAGTTGCAGTCACTCATGCACTTCTTCTTTGCAAACTCTCAATTTTCCTCCATCCTTCTTTGTATTCCCTTTGGGGGAGAAACTTAGCGCATGCCCATGACCTAGGACCTTTGCAGCCCTCCCGACTCGCGGCCCGCTTGAACGGCCAGGACGCTGCTGGTCGACGTCTTCCGAGGGCCAGCCCACAAAAGGCCGGCGTGGGATGCGTGTGCGTCGGCCATGTGGAGAGGGGCCTCTGACTTTGAGGCACACCGCGAGAAGCATGGCTTTTCTTCAGCTATTCGATACATCGACCGACTTCTTGGTATTTAGTCCGACTGGAATCATGTACAGATCGAATCTCCACCCTAGATCCCCGTTCAACTTCTGTGCGGCTGCATCTTATTAATTGCAGTCGTTGTTTGCGCTGCAAACTGCAGTCATCCCCACAGAGCCGCATCCAGTGTACACATTCGATGACCTGAGAAGATAGGAGATTGGGACGGAAAGACATGGGAAGCCAATCCGATCTTCCCCCGCAATCCGTGGCGACTGTCCAATCTCAGATACCTTGGGGTAACAAGTCCAATCTCAGATAACACTATGGTGTGGTTCGTTCATGCCAGCTAGGCTCCCGTAGATGTTCGGCTGTCTTCAGCTACATGTGCAGGAAGAAAGGTGCCAATACTCTGCATTCCATTTGTCCGTTCCGGATCCACAATGCTTGTCAGTCCTGTCTCCAGGCTGGTCATGATGGGCTCACTAGCTATAGGCTGGGCAGTGTGAGTGAGAGAACGAGGGAGCGAAGCTGGGGACAGTCGGCTGAGCTTGAATGGCGTTTTCGGTGCCGGCTACATGCCCGAGTGTGATACAGTATGACTGGCTGATGTTAATGCAAAGTTGGAGAGGCGTGACATCAAAAGTGAAATGACGGACCTTCAAACTGCGGGAAGCAGTGGGCCGCAATTTGGCCAATGCAAGCCTCCTTTTGCGTGGGGGGTGTTCATTCAGCATGCTTTGAAGCCGGCAATGGGCATGAGCCCAAAGTTCACAGTGGCCACTTTTCCTGCCGAATGTCAGGTGAGATGCACAGCTACCTCTTGAGCATCAGTGAAACTGGACTCATCAGGAGCCGGGACTTTCTTCCAGTCAGAAATCGGGGCATTGAGAGTTCGAAGAAACCGCGTCCGATGTCGTACGGAACAGCTTGAGACACAAGAGATTCGTAGACTGGAACTCGGCTTGCCATTTCAATACCGGCTCCTGCCTTTTTCTCCCGCCGGACGGATGCAAAGGCGAAACTATGGTCGAGTCATCCCCAAAAACAAAGAATGCATGTGATGTAATGCTCCAAAAGGGCCAGGCCGCTGGTCGATTGTATGCCATAATTGGCCACACTGGGTAGGACTAAACGTACCTGGCCACAACTGCGGCTGGCATGCACCCAGCACACTTACAATCCTAAAACGATGGTTTCTCCATACTCGTACTGTGTGTCAACACCAGGCCTCGTCCAGTGGTGAGATTCTTTTAGGAGCTCTATGCAACATGAGATCCTGAATGTGGACCCCGCTTGTTCCTTTCGGAATGTCCATCCTTATCCTGACTTTGATTCAGCTTCAGATTTGAGATGACCATTGTCTCAAATTGGTATGAACTTTCATAAGGGACCCTTTGGTGGACATCATTTAGGGGTTATTTATGTCCACCAATCACTTTCCCTGTTAACATTCATGGCCAAATGAGTTTTTACCCTATCCTGTCTACCCTGACTACGCATGATTCACTGGACGCCTCTGAAGAGTGGTGTTAGACATGCATCCCCCCTAGACGATGTGCACCAAGAGGTCCCTAGTAAAGTGCACACCCATGTGCCTTTTTTTGGGTACCTTTGAAGGCAAAAGGAACATCACCCATCTTGGGGCTTGACATACCCTTGGACGGTTTATCGTTTTGCTCGTGTCCACTTCCGAGGATGCTGCAGGACGGCGAGCAGCTGGGTCTCGCGGCCGCATGCAGATGGTTGGTACGTGGTTTTGGATTTGCATGAGTTCCAGAAAGGTGTATGACTTGGGTGAAAAGTGTGGGGGCGGGGTGCTTCGGAAGAGGGGCATGGGACATTAGTTTCCCTGGTCACATTAGCTAGTGTTGCATATTACTATGGAATAAGGCAGATACGGAGCAAGTCTGCCATCTGTTTGGATTTGGCCTCTATCTCCCTGCAATGGGAGCTGAGGCGTGCAGCCTCAGGGCTATGCTCCGCGCTCGCTGGAGAGGAGGAAGATGCTTATTGGCCTGCGGTCCGAGTGCGCGCGTGGGGAGATTCTCCCCAGGGCACATATGTTGGCAGAATTTTGCTGCTTCAGAGTGAGCTGAGTTTACAGCTGGTCGCTTCGGAGAATGCTTTGCAAACATTCTTGAGCAAACATGTGTTGTGAGAGTGTGTTTGTTAGTATTTGGGGCCAAGTGGGGAGGGACATGGGAAACTCCCTAAGTTTCCCATCAAGCCAGCACAACTCACTAGTCTCCCATGTCATGGACTTAGCAAAGGACAGCCACTCTCGAATCTTTGTCATGCAAAGGCTTTTTCACGGACCGCATGGGCTTTGTGCGTCAAGCTCCGAAATGGGTGCTGTTATGCGTTACAGCTTGGCGAGGTGTTTGCATTGGGTGTGTCCTTTTTCATCAGACCGTCATCAAAGCAATGAGCACATTTGCATGACTGCCAGTTGGTAGTTGGTCGGCGGCATCTGCCAAGGACTTTGGTCTGAACGGTTCGAACAAAAACCGCAGCCCGAGCCGCCGAGCCGAGCCGCACCCGTCTGGAGCGGTCCGTTGCAGACCGCCGATGTCTCAGGCGGCTCGAATTGGCCCGGCGCAGGGGCACCCAGCCGACAGCTTTCGGGTGAGACGCATCGCTGAAGTGACGGCAATGAATGACTCGTGTGCAAGGCTTGGGCTCTTGTGCAGTGAATCAACAAATGTACTCCACATTGAGTATGTTTGCATGAGGAGCCATCATGTAACCATCAATGCTGCGTTGTTGCCACATAAGTTCGAGTGTGCTTCACATATCGAGGTTCGGTTCAAGCCTTCCGTTGACCCGATTGTTGATACACGAGCCTCATGATCGCCAACAGCGCCATTCAAGAGGAGGACGATGATTTCGAGCCAAACATGGACGTGGATCCAGACAAGCTGGAGGAGGTGGAAACTGCAAGGGTGCAAATTCGCCAGCTAATGCATGAACAGCAGCGAGCAGCTGACTATGAGAAGCGGCTTATGCGGAAGCTCCAAATGCTGGACGCCGATCTTGCCTCCAAGAGGGAAGAAGTTGAAGGCCTGCAAAGGAGCTTGAACCTTGAACGCAACAAGTTTGCGGAGGAATACAAAAGCGAAAAGAGGGAGCGCGAGACAAAAGCGAAGACGCAGGAAGAGCGTATCCGTGAATACTTGACCGAGGTGCTGTATACAAAGCCGAAGCACAAGGGCAAGGTGGGAGAGTTCAATCTGGATACGGTATTAGTGTCTTTCGTCAAGCCCAACGAGAGCTTTCGGTACAACCTTGCATTTCGAGTGGATGCAGGAACGAGCATTGCGCAGTTGCGAAATAGCACCTGCAAGTACTGGGGCGTAAGCTCCGACAACTTCATTCTGCGGACCATGGCCAACAACAAGTGCCAGGACGACAACAAAGTGAAGGATTGTTTCAAACAGGGCGAGATTGCACAGCTTCGCCTGGAAATGAGACGAGAAAGTGCTGAACCACCCACTGAAGAGGAGCTGAAGGCCATTCAGCCGAAGAAACGGGCTGGCCGCAAGCAGGGGCAGCCCAGATACAACGCCAAGGGGGTTGAGCAAATTCAGAAGTTCGGAGAAAATTACGCTTCCCAGCTGAGAAGGATGGGAGGCGTGTACTTCCTCCTGAAGTTGCGGGATACCAAGCCGTCAGAGCATGCCGCGAAAATCAACCTTCGCAATTTGTTGATCTACGCAGCGTTGGTGGTTTTGTCCGCCACCGTGTACATGATGCGGCGCCCTGCTGGCGACGCATATTGGTGTGCCAAAGGCATAGAAGATATGGTCACAATTTCTACACCTCGGCCTGGCGTCAACTCTTGCAACGATCCCGCACTTTGTGTACCCCGCTTTCAGGAGATCAGGACACACACAGAGATGTGGGACTGGATGAACTACACCCTTCCTGAGCTATTTTGGAAAGAGGGAGCTTCTAGCCCAACATTGGAAACGTATAATGTGTTGCTGGGCTATTTCTCCATTCGGATTCAGAACGTCAAGACGCCCACATCCACAACTGAATACTGCGTGAACAATGCACGTCTAGTGACTGACATTGGCTTGGCCAATCCTGAAGCCAACATATCGTGCTACCCGCGCACTGTGACATCCTCAACGCAAAGAACCTCTGTGTATCCTGAGCTCAGCTTGTATTGGAAGAATCAGACCTCAGCAATTCAAGCAGATGCGCAAGCCACAGTTCGCGGATTGTCCAACCCGGGAGTGTTCAGGACGGTTGAGGAGAACCAGGCGAAGGGTATTGGCTGGATCAATGGGTGGGTGGCATCGTATGATCCCAGCGGTTACAGCGTTGACTACAGAATGTCGGTCAGCGACGCTGATGATGCAAAGGAAATATTTCGACAGGACTTGGCCTTCTTCCGATCTGCTGGTTGGATTGACACTTCGACCCGGGTCATGATGCTGTCGTTTACTACCTACAACTTCGACTACGATCAATGGACTGCCAGTGACTTCATTCTAGAGATGCCTGCGGATGCGGAGCTTTTCCCATCCTTCTCAGTGAAGCCGTTCAGGCCGCGCATTTACGAGACGAGAGCAGAGCTTACGTTTACGTACATCGACTACGTCCGGGTGGCCATCGGAATCTACATTCTGATTTTCATAGGATGGTCCGAGCGGCAGCACAAGGTCAGGAACCACAAGGCAGGCTTCAACTACCACACCTCCTTGGCCGGCATCATGGACCTTGGTCTCGTGGTATTCATGTTTGTCACGTTGATATGGCGCAGTGCCACCTTCCACAGCCAGCCCACCAGCGAGTTCCTGGCCAAAGTGAACGACGCTGGCAGGACTCTGGGGTTCACCTCCATGCGTCAGCTGGCATGGGAGTACAACACGGTGTTCGTCTTGGATGGCATCGCCATGATCTTCCTCATGTATCGAATGATCACATTTTTTAGACTCAGCCACAGCGTGTATCTCCTTTGGCGCGCTGTTGGTCAGGCCTTGAAGATGTTTGTGTTCACCACCCTCATTTTCGTTCCATCTCTTGCAGGCTTCATTGTGGTCTCCACTGCTTTGTTTGGCCGCTACCTCTTTGGCTTCTCGAGTCTTGGGCAGACTTCCATGTCCACCATGAAGCTGTTAGCGGGCAATCTGGACCCGCAAGTGCTCGAGAGAGATGTTGTTGTCGGAGTAATCTCCACCGTGGCGCTCTATCTTCTTCTCACCTTCTTCCTGCTCAATGTTTTTGTCACGATATTTGTGGATGCATACTACGTCATTCGACTCACCTCCACACAGCCAGCCGACAAGTGGGACGGTCAGCGGATCCGGGACTGGGTGTTGCCTGGAGTTTGCGTCAGCATCTTCCAGGCGGTCTGGCCATCGCGCAAGTCGGAGGGGGACTGAGCGTTCGTTTCACTGGCTGCGCCACCAGAGCAGCCCAACGGGGCTCGGCGGCCTCGAAGCAAGTCGCCAGATTTGTTTGTTTCACCGATGGCTAAGCGAAAAGCCCTGGAGAGAAACAAGAAACACCTAGTTGCAGGTGGCGAGGGAAGCCCACCAGGCAACCTAGGTGGCATTCACGTCTGCAACTCGCAGCCAAGAACGGCAGCTTCTCAACTGGCTCAGGATGAGAACTTCCAGGGTGAGATCACAGAGCTGCGGATTTGGCTTGGGGCTGACCGGCCAGACTTCGAAGGGATGCGGCCGAGGGGGTGGTGTAGCGGGAGTGTCAGGGGTGTGTTGCATCTAGAAGTAGCCAAGAGAGATTCGTGCTTGGAAGCCTTTCATTTGCTTCAAATTGGGCTTGGCATATTGGTCCTGGGTTAACGTTTGAGCTTCGCGTCCGATCAAAGAAGGCAGAGGCGGGTCACGATGGCTTGCGGCTTCGAGCCAAATCAATTGGTCGACGCCTTTTCCAGCCTTTGCCGGGCCAAGGCGCGGAGAAGTGGTCTGGCAACAAGCCTTTCCTGATTTGGACCGGCCAGTTCAGGCAGGGCTCCTTAAAAGGCATCCACGGACGGCAGTGTTTCCCTAAGAGACGAAGATCGCAAATGGCATGAAGTGCCTTTGTGGCTTGGGTGAGGCTGGAGAGCGATTTGGGTATGGGTCAAAATTGGACCAACGCGGGACCGCAGGTTTTAGTCCTTGGTTGCATTTACCAGGATTCCATGCTGGGTACCTATTTTTGACCCACGGCCATTTGGGGCTTTTCTTTTTTACCGGCCCTATGTCAACCCTCACCCCATTGCCTTGCACATGCAGTCAGGCGGAAGTCCGGCCACCTGCAGAGGAGCGCGGGCAGTTCGCATCAACGCGCTGCCAGCCGCTCTTCCCTCGCCTTGGCTATGTTCAGCTTACACCCAAATGGCTATGGGTCAAAACCAATGGGATCCCATTTTGGGGTAGGTGCACCACCCATTTTAGTCTATTGTAGTGGGGATTGGGATGTTCACTGGGGGTACGGGATTTTTGACCCATGGCCAAATGGCTGTAGGGAACCACCGACTCCAAGTGGTCAGACATGATTCCCAACGAGTGATGTTAGGGTCCCGAATGAAAGTTCATGGGAGCTCCACGGCTTGAAGGCCCCTCCAGCAGACTGCAGGAGCCCCAAAAGCCGACTCCAGAAGCTCAGCCGGAGGAAGCTCAGCCGGAGGAAGCTGAGCCGGAGGCTGGTAAGCAGATGGCATGAGTCTTTTGATTGGGCTGGTATCAAGACAAGGTGTGCAATCTCGTGAAATGGGTACGACATAGTGCAACAACTTGTACTGTGTCGGAGGTAACAAAGACAAAAACAACATCCTTCCTTCCGCTAGTAGATGTGTGTGTGTGTGTGCGCGTGTGCGTGTGCGTGTGCGTGTGCGTGTGTGTGCGTGTGCCTATGCACTTTGTGTACTTGTTGAGCAGATTGCAGCTGTCAGCACCTTCCCATTGGGTCACTGAATCAAGGACTCATGGCCAGGACTTTTATGGCACAGTGACAGGAGCTTGGTGTTTCTATTGTGCATGAACGGACACGTAGGTGGGCGTAGCTCCGATGGAAGAAGATGAGGACATTGCACTGGGCGGCTCGCTGGGCTTGCAGAAGTTTCGAGTCGAGGGAAGAGCGCTGCCACCCCCCAACATGTCTCGTGCCAGCTGATGCGAATCCAAGCCTTGCTTCTCAGTCTGCGGGGCACACATACAAATATAAAGTCATAGCGTATATACATACTATATATATATATATATGCTCACCCCCCCCCCCCCCGGCAGGGCCTACCTTTCTTCTTCAAATTGGACCAAATCCTCTTATTTTGAAGACAGGGGGTGTGAGCATATATACGCAAGAAGTGTGCTGTGCTGTTGTTGCATAGTTTGTGTGGGTGACAAGTCTGTTGAGTAACAACAGCGAAGAGTTTATACACTTTCCCTGAAAAAAATCAGGAAAGTTTGTAAACTATGTCAAGGGTTTGACGGTTTCCCTGCAACAAGGCAACACCTGGGCACCTGGGAGGAGGTTTAGAAGTTTGGGGCATGGGGAGGGAGGGGGGGGGTGGAGGGGGGGGAAGTCTTTAACAAAGTTGGTTGAGTCACACCTCACTGCTGAGACTTCCAACTCCCCCCCCCTCCCAAGACTTCCCAACCCCCCCCCCCCCGCCTCCCCCCCTCCCCCCCCCGCCCTCTTTCAAGGATACCAGGACCATGAAAATACAGCATTTTTTGTTGGATCTCTAATCCCTTGACATTTCCATTTCGGAGCACCTAAAACCTAGAATCTGGAGATCAGAATCCTCGAAATGTCTAATGTTGGATTCTCCAAGCCTCATAATTTGGAGCTGGGAGTCCTCCAACATGAGTTCCTTTCCAAAAAGGATTTTACTCCGAATTGAATTGGAATGTTGAAGGGGGCAAAGTGTTGTTTGGGAAATGAACAATCTTCGGTCCAAGGGAACACAATCTGAGCAATTTCTTCAAAACACTGTGTTTTACAGCATTTTGTTGGACCTGCAATCCCTTGAAATGTCCATGGTGAAGCACCTGGATCAGAATCCTCGAGATGTCTATGTTGGATTCTCCAAGCCTCATAATTTGGAGCTGGGAGTCCTCCAACATATCCAAATACACATTCCTTTCCAAATACGATTTTGCTCCGAATTGAATTTGCATATTGAATAGAATTTAGTAAGCACATAGTTCACCACCATTCAGAATTCACCATAATGTCTATATTTGATCAGACTTTGAGCAGGAATACCTTTCCAAATAAGGAACATATTATTTCAGTAGAGTCTAAATATACTTTAATGCAGACAGAATTCAATTCGCTTTTGAACATAAGACATTAATCAAGAACCCATCCCCAAATACGACTTGAATTGGAATAGAGCTTATTCTGGAAAGAAATCACTTGGCCTTTGCACACAAATTTTAATAGTAACTCATTCCCAAATATGATTTAGCTTAAAAGTGGCTAAACAAATATAGGGCACATATCCCCTGGAGATGTGTTTGGCATGTGCAGGTCTCAGAGCTTTCATTTTCAGGAGATTTTGTGCTTTTGGGTCTGTGCAGGTTGCAGAGCTCAAAGCTGCAAAAAAAGCATCATGATTTCAATGTCTTTTCCATGGTGTACTCAAAACCGCTGTAAAAACAGTGTTTTCAAACACAGCCAGACTCGAATCTGAAAACGGATTCTGTTTTCGCTTTGTTGCCTTTCAAGCTGAAGCAAAGCAATCATTTGCTGTCATATAGAAGGTCAACCACCAACATAAACACTGTATTTTACAGTGTTTTCAGGCATCTGCAAGAACGAGGCACACGGAGTAGACTTGACACCTTCAACTAGAAGAGAGGAAAGGTAGGCCCTGGGGGGGGGTGACCATGTATATATATATATATATGTACACATGTCAATGATATGCGGATCTGCCGGGATTCGACAGCCTTCCAAACCGGCAGGGCTGGACAGTTGCCACCAAGTCGGCCAAGAAGGCGGGGCCCCAATCCATCGCTTCGCTTCGGAACGAGATCTTCCGCCAGGCGAAGGCGGCCGCGAAGGCCAAGGCAGGGGCCTCGGTACCAGGGTCCCATGGTTGCCGGCGCGGGGGGGTGGGGAGGGGAGTTCGACCATTGGTTCCATGGGTTCCATGGGTGACATGGGTTCCATGGGTTCCATTTGCCCTCAACCCCGGAAATTCCCATTGGTTCCATTGGTTCTATTTGTTCCATTGGTTCCATCGGTTGAAATGGAATTAGGGGGACCCAGCGCCTTCCCCCAGGAAGGCTGGATCGTGGTGCTTTTGGACCAAAAGTGACAGGGATGCAATGGGGCTGCAGATGTTAATGTGCTCTTTGGCCAGCAGCCGAAAGATGACCCCAATGGCGGCAAGCCAAGTCTGATCACTTGGCGCTCTGGGGGCAGAAGGGAGTAAGCTCATGATGAACCGCCCGCAGTCGAGGCTTTTTGCGCGTCAGGAAGCACCGAAAAGCAATGCTGCATCTTATGACATGATGTTTAACTTGGAGAAGTCCAGATCAATCGGATTCAGCGCCAGCCTTGAAAGGACACAAGTTCAGTATTGTAGATACGTACGTGTTTCTTGCGTTCTGTGCAGGAAAGGAGTAGTCTTTAGATGAACTGCCCGGCATGATCATGATTCAAAACGCGTATGTTGCGATGCACATTCTGGTCATGGAGGTACGCCTAAGAGGGCATTCAAGAGCAACCCTGACGGTGAGGAAAGCAGGGACAATGGGCGAGCTACAAAAAACACATAGTTTGGCTAGCCATTTTGCAGCCACTGTAGGGCATCGCCGCAAATCTTGAAACATGCACTCCTGCATCGCAGATGCTTCTTTGTCAGGTGCAGTATTCTTCAATCAACATAAGAAGGGTTGAACCCAGGCACATCTCGCGAGAGGTTTCTCGAGCTTTAATCTAGCTGTGGGTGCGGTGCAAGCTTTGGCCAAGGACGCGCCCAAGGACACACGGCCCAAAAAGCGGGAGGCGAAGGCCGGTGCCGTGCTTTCGGCGTTGCGTGGCTGGGAGCGCTGAAGTGCTGCAATGGTTCGGTCACTGGCCAAGCAAAGTGTCAACATCGGTTGCCAAAAGCTTGAGAGCAATGATCCGTGTTGAAGGCTCGGCTGGCCATTCCTTGTTCTGTGTGTGTTGTGTACTTGCATAACTGTTGTAGCTTGGATTGGTGATTAAATTCGTTTTCGTCGATTTGAATCAGTGAAGGACCACTGGACAACAACGGAAATGTCAGCAAGCAAGTGGCACCCTGACCCTGCTGGTGCCTTCTTGGGCCCTCATCTCACAGAGGTTGATGTGACCATGTTTATCTGATTTCTCGGCTGTACCATTCTGCCAGGAGCCTAAGCCATCGCAGGAGCCTTCAAAGCCATCGCCAAAGGCAGTG